GAGGCGGAAGAGGCAGCGCAAGCACCGGCCCGCAAGCGGGGCAAGCGAGCCGTCCTCAACTCCTCACAAGAAGGAGCAGGAGGCGCCGAGTCATCCTTTGCAGTCGACCAGCACATGTTTAATACTGCACCGCTGGCTCGCAAAGTCCAAAAAATCAAAGTTGTGCGCCCGGCGCAAGATATCCGCCACGAGACGCCCTTTTCCGCGGCCGGAGCTGACGGCGACGACAAGCCAAAGGACTACAAGAGCATGACCAAGTCGGAAAAGATGTCGGCATCCATGAAGAGTAAGTCTGATGAGCACTAGCTAATTCCAACAAAGATTTCTGCTTGCAGAATTGTTCATGATGGATGAAGAATGCAATGCTAACACACATATTTCCAATTTAGGTCGCTGGGCAAACGGCAACATGGCCGGAGCTGTCGAAAAGCGAAAAGCAACCCTCGCCGCCAAGAAAGCAGCCCAAGTAGCCGCGGACGCCAAAGACGGCGGCAGCGGTACACCAGCACCGAAGCCCAATAAGCCTAAGCACTCCAAGAAGGAGGCGCAGGCGGCGGAGAGACATTCTGCGGGGGGGTATATTCCGGCCATTCCTGGGATGGGCTATCCATTTTCTGCGAATTAGAAAAATGTGTCTACTGTTCTGTACGCCGACTACCGAGGGGACTTTTCTTTCTTGCTGCTGGCTTATTTTCTTGGATTTTGCGATGCCGTGCGAGAGGAAGCTGTGAGGGGGGTGCGGTTTGTGCCGCGTGCCGTATGCCTTCTTATAGAAATGGCCTGCATTCGTATTGCGCTGTCCGGATTTTCTGTTGTTTCCATCATGTCTGCTGTCTTTGCTGGGCTGATGTGAGCCATCTATCATGCGTCCATGCTGCTTTTTCATTGCTGAGCACTTCTTTCACCGAAGCTTGTTCGGTCTCACCCATGCATTAGCGCTTGCTCCATGCCCTTTTTTTTTTTTTTTTTGCTTCCCTTCTTTCTTTCTGGGACTTGGAGTCTTCGACTCAGTCCCAGCCGCCAGGCCAATTTGTTGTTGGGGACGGCGATTTAGGGCTTATACGGTCTGCGCAAGGCCTTTTCCCCCGCCCTTTCTTGCTTTTTGTTCTTTATATTCTTCTTTTTCTCTTTGGCAAGGGACATGAAAGTGGCGAGACTTTTAGAGTACGTATGGTGACTTGGTGTTTTGTTAGGTCATTTTCTTGGTGGTTTTCGTGTGAAGTACTTAGCGATGTGGATCAGGCTGGTTGGTGCCCCTGTTTTGAGGACCTACGTTATGTTATGTCCCTGGCCTTTAATTTGGTTGATGGGTTTTATTTTCATATTTTTTGAAACACACTTTACGATGAATAGATTGAGCAATACACTCCAGCGGTTATGCTTGCGTTTTGCCACTCTTTACAGCGTTGATGTTCGGTGTGAGGTGTGAGTGCCGTGACTCGTCTCGCTGGGATTCATGGGGAAGAACCCCTGGTCCTTGGATGACTTTCTGATGTAGGCGCGGAGGCCGTTAGACAGCATTGGGACAGGTGGTGCACTTGACCGTGTTGGGGATGTCAACGGGTATGGCGAAGAACTGGCTTAATAGTTTGTCACATCATGCGGTGGTAGTGTGTGTGGTAACTTATCTTGTCTCTGCGCATGTCTTTGCGTATGTGTAGGTAGTAGTATGCGTAGTATTTGTCTGTAGTGTCAGACATGTGCAGTACCTATGTGTATCGCATTTGCACGTCATAAAATGTGTCGTGTCAGTGTATACGAATATAGTGTCTATCTGTATTTGTTGCGCCTGCATAAGTGCCGACGAGAGTGCAGCATGACTGAATGATGCACGTATGAATAATTTACATGTAGTTACAGTGTGACAACTTACAGTGCATATGTACATGCATATCAAACCTAGTCTCGCAGCGGGACGTACCGCTGCTTAGACTATAAGCATCACATCGTGTGAAATCAACGACAATTTGAGAAGCGGGGACAGCGTGCTGAGAGTCTGAGACAACTCTGCTTGACGTAGGAGGCTTGGCTTATCAACAAAGAAAACAAACATACTAATGGGCATAAGAGTCTTCGCATGTGCTGTTCGATGTAGATCCCTTCTTGTTTCTTTTCTGTCCAGGATACCTTTCCAAGTCGGCTCTTGTCATCTATGAAATGAGGGCCTATATGGACCTGTCCACTCCAGTAGGTACTCTCTTCCGAGTCCCGATTACTCGTATGAATCCCTCATGGACTTCCTCCAACATACTTCTTTCAAATTTGCTCTCCAGGCTCAGTCTCCGAATCGGATATTTTAAGATCCTTCGATTGATCACGCGTTTGGGCAGGGCATTTCACCCTCCAGGGCACTTCCAGATAAGCCAGTCACAATCACACGGCAATCAACATCTCGAAGAAGCAATTCTGAAGTCTCTTTTAGATTCCCTTTAAACGCCCAACGGAAAAAAAATTGATAAAATTCCACAACCCTCTACATAACGACGCCGGAGTTGGAGGCGATACGCTGTGTGCCTTGAAGTCAGCATTTGCAGACTCGTGGCAGTGCGTTTGGATGTGCAAGTAGAAATAACTTACAGGCCACAGCTCAGCGGCTTCCTTGCCGACAGGGCCGGTAATGGCGGACCCCTTCATCTCACCCTTGGGGTTGACGATCTGTCCGGCGTAAGTTAGTTTGTGCTATGCTTGCCAAATAGGAGAGAGCAAACGCGTCAAAATGGTTGTCAGGAGTTGAGTTATTAGAGCAGCTCGAGACAGATCGATGTAAGGTCAAATCTCGATCCACCCAGATGACACCGACCCGCTCCCATTCCGACTTGCGTCTCCCTCCTACAGTTTTGGGATAAACATCTCCACGTACAACACCGGCGTTGTCCTCGAAGTAGAGGAAGACACCGTCGAATCGCTTCCAGGGCTTGGATTGTCTGACAATAACGGCGGGGTGGACCTTCTTCCTTAGCTCGGGCTTGCCCTTCTTGACGGTGGCCATGACCATGTCGCCGACACCGCCGGCGGGCAGACGGTTGAGACGGGCACCGATACCCTTAACCGAGATGATGTACAGGTTTCGGGCACCTGAGTTGTCGGCGCAGTTCATGACGGCACCGCTATTCGGGAAACGTTAGCTCGGGGAGCCGAGGAAGACTTGTCGTTCGTTCGAAATCGGGGCCGTGCAGCAGGGTCGGGACGAAACGTACACAGGGAGACCCAGGGTCATCTTAAGCTTGCCACCAGGGGCACCACGCCTGTATGACAGAAAGTGCGGTCAGCCAAATAATTCGGCGTAAACAGTTGGGATGCCAGTATCTTCCGGTATGCAGAAACTTGAGAGCCGACGTCGCCCAATTCTCCTTTGTCGAGTAAACGTTTCGGATCGTTGGTCAAATAATAAACTTCTCGAGAGCTGTGAGATCACAAGCGCATTGAATCCAGAAATCCGCACATCGCCATTCTTGATCGCCTCAAGTCGGGTCCATCATCGGTCCGTCGCCGGAGAGTTGTCGCGTTGTGGTTGGCGTCCTGACCGTAAAAATTTCCCCTCTTGCACGTCGCTTCAAGATTTTTCGCAATACTCCGAAGATTTAGCACATGGAAGGCCACTTACGAGATCTTGGCCATTGTGCCTGTTTGGTTGTGTCGTTACGTCGTGGTATAATTACCTGGGTCTCGATGGCCGTAATCTGAAAGTGCGAAAAAATGTAGTCGTCTCTGCGGAGTGCGGTACCCTAGGGCAAGCGAGTACTTCACGTGATGATAGGGCTCCACCGGGCAGAGAAGCACCTACCCCAACAGCGGGGCATATTACGCCTGGGATGAAAAGCACTCTGCCTACATAGGTACCTACTTGGAAGCTGGCATCGTCTGTGGGATGCAGATGAAGATCAATTGAAAACGTGGACGAACAGCTTTTACAGGCATAAACGATCTGGACTGGCTTGCGTTTGAATTTATTTTTTGATTTGACCCATGATGCCGCTGCCTCTCTGCCTATACCTACAGATTTCTTCAAATTGCCCGCGTTTTTTGGTCTCGTATCGTGTGATGCCTCACTTGACAGGAGCAGCAGCCTTTTCGATCTTTTGCCCCTAGGTTGATCTACCTGGAATCCCCGGGGATTCTTTCGCGACTTAGACGCGTGTCTCGATGTCTGGTCCGAGCTGCTTGACCGCCGCGTTCCACTCCATCTGGTTCTTGAAGGTAGACATGGAGACCAAACACTGGGATCTGTCAGCATAACCACGTAATTCAACCTCAGGGAGTCTAACCTGAACCGAGGCTGGGGCATCTTCATCAAATACCAACTCCATGGGGTCTGGAAGCTGTTGACCTCTGAACAACGCGGCCCGGCAGGTTTCATGATCCAAATGTGAAATGTTCACCACCACAAATGTACCGAATGACAGCCTCAACAGTGGCACTGAAGCAGCTCACCGATTGCTTTCATTGGTGGCTCTTGTAGGTTTCTTTCGTCAGTCGTCAATCGAACCATACCACCTCTTTGATGTCGCGCTAGCCTTGTGTCGCTATTCAGGAAGAGTTCAGAGACCAACACCCGAGGAAATGAACTGCGCGCCAGGTACGATTTTCTGAAATGCGATATACATTCCATCCCGCCTGAGCCTACGCCGTGGGCTCAGACCAATACAAATGTAGCCATGACATGACACTTGAGCTCACACGGCGAGCTATTCATCGTTCTGAGCGCTCATTATGGCTTTTGAGCCAATGCGGCAAGATCAGAACGAGCCGATTGTTTAACAAACTGTGAAACCCGATATGCCACCAGATCAGATTATGGCTGATTGTGACTCTTTCGCGTGGATCAAATAGCTGCACGGGATTTCTACAATCCTCGCGTGCCTTGACGCTCTAACGAAGACCTGATGCGGCCAAACACATGTTTGTCGAAGCAAGAGTCAAGAGCTAAACTCATTCGTAGATGGAAAGCTACATAATTATAAATAAGGGTACGTCAGGCGTCGACCTCCAACAGCACGCATGCCCGGTTAGCTCAATCGGTAGAGCGTGAGACTCTTACCAGGCATAAAATCTCAAGGTTGCGGGTTCGACCCCCGCATCGGGCTATTCCTATAGGCAAATTACCCGATTTGCCACATATTTTTTGCGAGTCCCCACCACATTGTTCCTCGATGCAGCTTTCTCTTTTTTTGGACTGATCTTAGCGCCGTTTCGTTTCGTTTTATTATAGAGGATTCTGCGTTCCCTTTTTGATTAATGGCATGATCGGTGAACATGCCTGCTCTGTATGTACCGATCTATGTCTGTGGTACAGCATACAGGTCATGAGAATCTCATTCCCCCACGCTTGATGGATGACAATTGCATTTTTGCTCGCACATTGTACATACATAAACGTCTTCATTAACCCTCGCCCATCTGGTCAGTTGGCCTTTGGACTAGGCGACGCTTCTGGAAGGAACGGACGGCCAGTCTCAGCCGTAGAAGAGATGGGTATGTAGATTGTCGTCCATTGGTGGACTGGAGTTACTGAAAATCTAGGTAGACGAGTCGAGATCTCAAACGTCAGTCTCGAACGCCTTTGGGGCGCCATCGGGCTGCCATCAGGTGGCCTTTATTAATTAGTGCCATCCGCCGTTCCTAAAAGCCGAGCCGACGTGGCGCTAGTTTTTCGAGTACATACAAAGCAACAAAAGAACGGCTTCGACCAAGGGTCTTAGAGGAGGTACCTAGGTAGGCATATCGCTTGCGTCGCTGCATCGCCTATCAGCCGCTCGGAGGCGAAACACAGGCCATCCTGACGGCATCGGAGCACTTGGCCTTGATCAACGCTGGCCACCACACGGCGGTGTCGAGACTCCGTCGACAACACCAACATGCCGTCGCCGTCACCGTCGTCACCGTCGTCGCCTGCGCATACACAGATACATACTCAGACTCGAACTCAGGCTCTGGCTCAGCACTCCGATAGCACAGCTACGACTTCGTCACATGTCACGCCGGGCCAAGTCACCAGTGTGAGCAATGTCACGGTATATCCCACCTCTGGCCCTGACGCCTACACAAGCCCGATCATGGCCACCGGCCGGGCTGGACCTCCGGCCTTGAACCCGCGATCTTGTGTGACCTGTCGCCGCCGCAAGGTTCGCTGCGACAAGCAAATGCCATGCTCGAACTGTCGTCGCGCGCGGATTCCTTGCGCTTTCCCCGCCCCCGGCCGAGCACCTCGCCAGCCGCGACCCAAAGATCCCAGTGCGCCGTCGAATTCGTCGAGCCGCCGAGAGGCAGAACTCATCAAACGACTCAAGAAGCTTGAGGGCATTGTGGAAGAGCTCAGCGGCCAGATCGAAGAGCCTGGGGCTGCAGGCGCTTCTGGTGCCCTTGGTGGCGCTACCGAAGTAAAACTGCTCTCATCCGCTGCCTCGCCAGAGCCTGTCTATTCTGGCGCTGATAGTCTACCCCTGCGACAATCATCTACTGGCAATTTCGAGGACTCTGCCGCATGCGACGCCAGCTCCAGGGCAGCTTCGTCTGTGGGTGGTAGTAGCGACGCTGTGAAGGCAAAACCAAATTTTGGGCGGATGGTTGCCGACGAGGGCCGGCGAACCTCTCGCTATATTAGCAGTGGATTTTGGTCCGAGCTCAATGACGCAGTATGTAAAGTTTTGACAGCCAAAAGGAATTCCCTTCACCCTTCGGGATTAGACTGACAGTTGGACCCATCAGCTTGATGCGATTCGAGAGGAAACTCAACGTCTGACTGATGAGGACGATGTTGATTCAGACTGCGAAGAGACACCCGAGAACTCGCCAAGAACAGTCTCGGGAAACATCAGTGATCACCATGCTTTCATCTTGGGATACCGCTCAGCCGATGTTGATCTTCAAAAGTTGCATCCTCTTCCTGCCCAGTCCTCCCTTTTATGGTCGATCTACGTCGCGAATGTCGAGCCTCTCGTAAAAATTATGCATGTTCCATCCGTCGACTTGATCATGTGTGATGCCAGGGATAACTTCGACAAGCTCACCCCTGGAAATAAGGCCCTGGTATTTGTCATATATTTGGCTGCAGTAACCTCTCTAGAACCAGACGAGGTATGTGCCTGAACATTTTATTGGTCGCCCCTCCCACATATGATGCGGCGACTTATGCATCGAAGATAATGATACAGCTCTGACGATAACGGTCATCTAGGTTCAAACATACTTTGGTGCAAACAAAAACGACTTGCTGGCGCAGTTTCGTTTCGCAGTGGAGCAGGCTTTAGCGAAAGCAAAGCTTCTCGACACTTCAGATCTCGTGGTACTGCGAGCATTTACCTTATTTCTCGTCGTGGTAAAGCGTCACGAAGACAGCCGATTCTGTTGGGCCTTGACCGGCCTGGCTGTTCGGATTGCCCAAGGCATGGGACTGCACCGCGATGGCAGTCACCTGAAGCTATCGCCGTTTGAAGCAGAGATGCGACGACGACTGTGGTGGGCCATTCTGATTCTAGATTTACGCTCTGCCGACGAGTTGGGAACCGACATGACTATCAGCGAGACTTCCTACGATACATTGATGCCGGCCAACATCAACGATTCTGATATTGGACCGGAAAGCACAGAAGCTCCAATACCTCGCGAAGGAAAATCTGACTCCGCAGTGACAATCGTACGATGCGAAATTTGTGCGCTCGCCAGAAAAATCCTAACAGCTGGCTCTGCGATGACTTCTCTATGCCCCTCCAGCGAGATGTCCAGCATAGCGGATCGAGAGCGTATGATTACTGAAGTATACCGACGTGTAGAGAAAAGGTTCTTCCAACACGTTCTCGACGAGACAGATACCCTCTACTGGGCTGCAGCCATGATCGCGCGAATCTTGGTGGGCAAGATGAGTCTTGTTATCTATCAACCGATGCTCTTTCCCGGTTCCGAATATGAGCTATCAGATGACATCCGACAGCGCGTGTATATTTCTGCCATCGAAGTCATCGAGTACACCCATAGACTGAATGTCGATCTTCGGTGTAAACAATACAGCTGGCTATTCAAGACATACGCAATCTGGCACGCGATTGCCTACACCCTAATCGAGACTTGTCGACGACCGTGGACCGCCTTAGTCGAACGCGGTTGGGATGCCGTCACTGGCTCCGATATTGACCCTCTCGAGCTCGCCAAGATGGTTGATCATGCTGCTGTATTCTTACCTTTGCGAAAGCTCTTCACAAAGGCGCGTGGGCACCGTGAATCAGAGATCAGAAGACTTCGACGCAATCAAGACGAGGCCCGACGTCTCGACTTCGCGGAGCGCTTGAACCCTGCACAGGCACGCTTCGGCCCTATTCCTGGCGCTGAAAACAGAATGGAACTGATGAGAGAGAAATGGTGGTCTCTGATCCGTCCTCAGGAGGCCCCCTCAAAACTCTATCTTGCTCACCCATCAAAAGTGTTCTGGGATCAATCTTCTACGAGTCAACCTGGGAGCGAAACTATGCAGAATCCAAATGGCAACATTTCTACAGGAATCAATATGTCTTCTGCCCTCATGGAATATATGGACGGAATCATGGCCCAACCAAATCCCGCTATAGCTGAATTGTGGCATCTCAATCAATTCAATGAAGGAAGTCTCGTCACCGAGACGCCGACACTTGCCGCTCCCCCACTAACGTCGCAAGATCTGGTAGGCGACCAGAACGCCATGAATGAACACAGACCAGATCATTTGCATATAGAAGCCTCCGGGGACGGCAGCCTGCCTACGTATCTTTGGTCCGATGCGTTTACACCAGTCAACGTTGGACCTAGTGGAGATACCGATATGCTGGGTGATGACTTTGACTGGCAAGATTGGAGCCAAAGCATTAGGGGGCTGGAGATGGGAAGCTCCCAAAACCGTCCGGCATGGTATTAGTAATGAAAACCTCTTAGATTCTATCTTCTTATGGTCGAGAGGACGTAAACGAAGACAGTACTTGTAGCAGGGTCACACATGAGCGCATACGCCATCCAGCTCGTGACAATCACTCATAGAGCAGACACCTAGATCCAGAGAAGAAGAAGTTAAATTTTATGGAAAGGTCCTAGCAAGTGACAGCCATGTCATGGTAAAGTTGACACATTAGGTGAGCCGCAACGCTCATTGATGATTGGACTCTTTTTAAGTTCCGAGGTGCAAGTGGAGAACCCGCTCAAGGAACGCTAAATCAACAACCACCTTCTTCCAAGTTCCATCATCTCCATTCCTCAGCCAACTATCTATCGATCAGCTCAAAACCTGTCTCCGAAAGCCAAGAAGTTGTTCTGCTTCCAGATCTCCGCCACTATGAATCCAGACCGACAAGCGATGATCGACGGGCCCAGGTCTCCTCGTAGACGGGCCCCGGTCTCGGCGGCCAGAGTCGACCCGAAGAACAGAATATCAAAACCATCACGACCGAGGGCGTCGAAAGCTCTTCATAGCGCAGCTACTTACCTCACTGAAGAAGAGCAATCGCGAAAGTTTGTTGCAGATGAAGACAAATTCGTCTTGAAACAATCAAAGAGGAAGGCAAATATCCGGGTGCGAGAAGGACGAGCCAAACCTATCGACCGCCTGGCGTTCAACTTGCGCTACATCGATCCTGAGCGCGATCTCTTCGACGACGATGACGGAGATGTCTACATCATGGTCAGCTCTCCGCTGGAGATTATCAACGGTCTGCCTTTGGCAGAGCTGAAAGAACTCGAATCTGACATTACATCATACCATGTCCTGGAGACCGAGAAAGACAATCGCAGGTACTGGGAGGCTCTGCAGACGCTGTGCATCGATTTACAATCCAAGACTGAAGCTACCATGAGTGATGGTCGTGTAGTCAATAGCGTGATGGGTGACATTGATAGAATTTTGAGCCCCAAGACGTACGATCAGTTAGAAACATTGGAAAAACAGATCAAGGCCAAGTTACGGTCAGATGAGGACATTGATACGGATTACTGGGAACAATTGTTACGTCACCTTATGGTCTGGAAGTCCAAGGCGATACTGGGCCGCATACATGGAGAGATCATAGCAAAGCGACAAGAAATGTTGAAGGCTCGACAGCCGATCCCGCCATCCAGCGCATCTTCTTCA